ATTAGATGCGCTCTTAAGCCTCCATCCCCATCAAAAAACGACCGCGCCACAATCCAGAGCGCCCTATACACGAATCCACTCGGGTGTCCCAGCACGACTTCAGTAAATACAAAGCCGCACCACCCGCAGAACACACAAACACACATGAAGCAGACAGCGACCGCACAGCGAAACACACCCACAGACACACTCATCACTCCACGCCGACGAGGAACAGAACGGAGGAATGAACCGAAAAAGCGAGTGCAATGTGCCACTTCTAGACACGACTGAACAACTGAGTCACTGCGAACACGCCGACAATCCGTTGGTCCCAGACAGCACCCTCCCTACACGCCACAACTGAACAAAGCCCAGAGTCACGTGAACGCCAACAAACAAACAAAACCACTCACCCATCACACTGTTGTATTTCCTTTAAAGTCCGGTGCGGTTTATTTGTGAAAAAAGTTTGAAAATAGACCATTTAATGACCATTATAATCCTGAGCGCCTAATAGCCCGGAAAATACGGTATGTGCTCCTAAAACCAAAACATATCCGATCGTTTGACATGCGACTTCAGTCTGAACAGCCAGGTCACATTCACAGATATACACTTCTCATCATACAAATTTGTGTATGAAGTCCGTGTCAGAAGCACATGTCAATCCCACCACTCTTGGCTGCGACTTTGCACCCACACGTTCCTTTCTACGGACGTTGCTGCCGCTGTCCCAAAAACCGCCACGGCCAAAAGCCTCGTCCTTTTCCTTTTCAATCTCCTCCTTAAAACAAATAACCTGTACATGTCCAGGCTCCAAGACAACAACTTTAAAATCTCCAGGTGCTCAATGCTGCGTCCATGTTTAGGCGACTTCTGTAAACACTGAGTACGCTCGCTGTGGTTGACGTCGTCGTGTCCTCCGATGCACTTGCGGGACACTTTCGGGGCATTTAAAGTTCACATACAAGTCACATTTAACTGGAAATGTGAACAACCTTGCAAAAAAAATCTGATTTCATCACAGACATCATCATCACAGACATATTGTACTGATTTCCATGTAAAAAAAAAAACACTGCGGTGCCCGATGGGAGCTGGCATCGCAGCATACGCCATCTACCTCCAACGGATAGCCACAAATTATGCTGTAATTGTACCAAAATGACTATGCGACACTGCCAAATACTGGCTGTATCACCAATTAAGAAAATAAAATTGGAGAAAGAAATAAGTACAGAGCAGTGGGTTTATGCTGTTTTTTGCAGACTGCATAAACATGTACAAATTACTCTACAACTTTGAGAAGGTAAACAACTACCGTATTTTTTGGACTCTATGTGGTACTTTTTTTTCATGGTTTGGGTGTTTCCTATGACTTATACTCCAGTGCGATTTATGTATTAAAATGTTGACACTGAAGCGGTGAGAGGTTCTAGTCTTGTGTGTGAGTATCTGCTGCTCCTGTTCCTCCTGTACCACTGTCACTTCACTCTACTGCACATGTCTCCTGCAGAAAGAGCCTCTGTTCTGTCTGTATCATGTCAGTCGATCGCACAATTACTTCTGCACCACTGAAAATGTAACATTTAAACAAACTTATAAAGACGATTGAGAAGACTGAACACAAATGCCCCCAAAAACGAAATCATATTTTGCAGATTACAAACTGCAAGTCGTGAAATCTGCAGCTGAAAACGATAATCGAGCAGCAGAAAGAAAGTTTGGAGTGAGAAACTTGTGACTCCGGGAGGATGCACCATGAAACTTTCCTGAAGTCACTGGATGGATGGACAAAGCCTGGACTTCAGTGACACCGAAACCATCCTGTCGGGATTCAGAAAAACCAGAATAATTCTAATGAACTGATGCTGAGTCTGACGACAGCGACACAGAAGAGGAAGAGGCGCTCTGTTTATCTCCGGAGGTCGAGGAGTTGTTCAGAAGTGACACCGAGGATGAAGAATTGAATGGATTTAGTGATTTGGAGTGAGATGGAGAGTTTGTTAAACTTGTTCTGTTCTGTTGTTTATGTTATAGTTTATCTGAAGAACTGTTCATATGTGACGTTAACAGTCTGTTGTTCTCTCTTCTATTCTTATTACTACAACTTGACTTTACACGGGAAATGTCAGTTCCTGGTCTCTGATTTCATAAAATAAATTTCCCCCAAAAAGTGCAACTTATATGTTTTTTTCTTCTTCATTACGCATCTTTTGGCTGGTGCGACTTATACTCCAAAGCCACTTATAGTCCGAAAAATCTAAAATCACTAGAGCTGGCCAATGATAGAGCAGTGGGCGGGGCAAAGTAAACTAAAAAGTACAACTTAACATACCAAAAATCTGTTGCAATCAAGATATTTTAATAATCGTGTAGTAATAAAAATGTAAAAGTAGCTGTTTCGGTGAAAAACAAACTCAAGGATCACATTTTGTTGCACGAGGACCATATAGCAGCAACTACAACGATCATTATTTTCTGTCCAGCCAAACTGCACACACGACTTTGCTTATGCCCATCTCAGACACTGTTTTCTCCACAACATCACAGAGAGAGAAGACACTTAGTGGACAGGACTAACAGTTCAAACTCTTCACTTCTTCACTCTGAATCTGGCAGACGGCCTTTAAAGCTGACATACCAGACTTTTTCTTGTAAACAAATGCATTTTATCTTTTTCCCCCTATTGAGTATGTTGTAAAAATAGTCCACGCCGCTTCTCTTTGCTCAGAGAAAGCTTTTCTAAAGCTCTGTAAGTGTCAGGAAATTCTTGCGTGTGAATTTTAACGATGCGCCGAAGGGTTTGTGAGCGCTAGCAACAACTTAGATAGATTTAAATACATACTTATTCCTTTCACAGTTCCGAAGTAAATCCATCTTTAAAGGGTCTATATTACTGTGGGTGGCCGGGCGGTCTTGGAGGCATCGGTGTAAGAACTACAGCCCGGGATGGTTTCTTTACGGCACCTTTATTCCAGTAACACTTTGAGCAAACAACATCGTCCGACTACAAAGCTGGTCACACTTTTAAAAGGATCCACAGCCACTACCAACTGTTCAGGTGACCAATTAGCTGAGGTGGGGACTTGTGAGATGTGACTTGGACTCGAGCCACACTGGATTTTGTTTGCCTGATGAAAGCCAAGTGCCGAAACGCTGTACTGTTTGTCCTAATAAATCTCACATTTTGCAAGTAAGACGATGTGTGGGATTTTTCTCTATGTTCTTGGGCTGCTCCTTCTCCTCCAATGCACATGTCTCAAGTAACTGATGTGCAAAGTTCTAATTCTTTTTTAGGATCTGACTTGATAAAATGGACTAAAACCTGGGACTTGATGCAGACTTGAACGTCAGTGACTAGGGACTTGGTGCGGACTTGAAGGTCAGTGACTAGGGACTTGAGGCAGACTTGAAGGTCAGTGACTAGGGACTTGATGCGGACTTGAAGGTCAGTGACTAGAGACTTGACGCGGACTTGAAGGTCAGTGACTAGGGACTTGATGAGGACTAGAAGGTCAGTGACTAGGGACTTGATGCGGACTTGAAGGTCAGTGACTAGGGACTTGACGCAGACTTGAAGGTCAGTGACTAGGGACTTGATGCGGACTAGAAGGTCAGTGACTAGGGACTTGACGCGGACTTGAAGGTCAGTGACTAGGGACTTGAGACTCAGTGACTAGGGACTTGACGCGGACTTGAAGGTCAGTGACTAGGGACTTGATGCGGACTAGAAGGTCAGTGACTAAGGACTTGACGGACTTGAAGGTCAGTGACTAGGGACTTGATGCGGACTAGAAGGTCAGTGACTAGGGACTTGACGCGGACTTGAAGGTCAGTGACTAGGGACTTGATGCGGACTTGAAGGTCAGTGACTATGGACTTGATGCGGACTTGAAGGTCAGTGACTATGGACTTGATGCAGACTTGAAGTCAAAGACTTGAGACTTGCTTTAGACTTGCAAAACAATGACTTGGTCCCATCTCTGCCAATTAGTCCTCCCCATTTTACAATATGACATAATCCATACATTAGAATAAATATTCACATATAATACACATTTATCAATAAAAACATTAACATCCAATGATACAAATACCCACAATTTCTCTCAGAATATTTAAAATTAGACATTTTTGTAACCCAAGCACTGCCGGACACTTTCTACTTTTCAAAATTGCCACCCGGAACCAAAATAAGCCGGGTTTGTAGGAGCACTTTGAGTTGACGCCACCTTGAAGACTCTGAGCCGCTCGCTACCATTGACAAGTTTTACACTTCTAACTCCACATTTATCCATTTTTAGTGCTCAAAACTTGCTAACTCCCCGCTGCCTGTACTTTACAGAGTGGCCCGATCGAATCCAACGTGGCGCACCTGATCTCACACAACCTACAGTACCAACAAATCCCCGACCCACAACGTTCACAAACAATGTTCCACTTTCTTAGCTTTTATAAACTATAACAAAAATGTCCATACAGCATAATATTTGCATCACTTCATTGAAAATCATTTAAAATGACTGTGACAGGGACCTCAAAGTCACAATTACACTATTTTCTGATCCATGTTCTAATGTAGTTTCCTCTTCACAAACAGACCTGGAATTTTGTTTATAAAAGTTAACTTGAGAACTACCACTTCATGACATCATAAGGTGGAACAGAGCATTTTGAGCTTTGGAGATGTAGACAGACTAATAATAAAGGATTACTTACACGTGTGAATGAAACAAAACATAACTCCAGCTCTGTTTTTGAGGAGGTAACAACATTATAACATGTCTTAAAGCTCACAAGAGTCAGTTTTGTGTAATATACTGTAGGACCTTTAATACTATGAATCCTTTAAAACAACATCGGTCTGCACTCTTAACCAACAGGTCATCTGATATCCTCCACAGCTCTACACAAGCAACACCATCAGCTTGCAATATTTCTTCACTCCAAAAACAAAATTCCAGCAACTTCCACAGAGCAGCTCTTTTAATATAATAATAAATACAGTCTCTTACCTCTCCACATGGTCCAGGTTTCCGGACACTCCCAGGCCTCCGATGGTGTAGAGTTTTCCATCGTACACGAGGCTGTTGTGACGAGAGCGCGCCACCGTCATCCGAGAAACCAGGTTCCAATTATCCAGAAGAGACATGTAGCACCACACATCAGACACCATCACCCCAGACTCTGTGCCACCTGCAGGGACAGGAGAGAGGAGGACACAAGTGTGAGGACAAAATGTGGACAAGTTAACTCTTTTCCAATAGTTTTCATCACATCAAACTCTGTACCACCTGCAAGGGAGAGGAAGAGGGACACAGGTGTGAGGACAAAATCTGGAAGTTTAACAATTTTCCAATAGTTTTCAGCACATCAGACTCTATACCAAATAGAGATACACTGATCCAGGTTTTTCTATTCTGATACTGGTGCCGATACTTAGGCTTTAAGTATCTGCTGATACCCAATATCAACTGATACCAGGTCAGATACTGAAAATATAATGTATTTCTTTTAAACACAAACTGTGTTTGGCAAAATTGATCCAAATGTGTTTTACAACTGTTCATCATCATTTAAAATAAGTAAGTAAGTTTTTTTTTTTTTATTTACATAGTGCTTTTCATAGACATTTGTCACAAAGACACTTAACAGATCATTATTCATTCACTCCACACCTGGTGGTGGTAAACTACTGTTGTAGCCACAGCTGTCCTGGGGCAGACTGACTGAAGCGCGGCTGCCAATCTGCGCCATCGGTCCCTCTGACCACCATCACTCACGCACACCACATTCATACTAGGCAATGTGGGTGAAGTGTCTTGTCTAAGGACATAATGACAGTTCTTGTGATTGGCGCCCCTGTGGCACCTGATTTTCCCACTGGTCTCCCATCTAAGTACTAAACAGGTCCAGCCCTGCTGAGCTTCTGAGATCTGACAAGATCAGGCTTTTACAAACTGGTATGGCCACATACACAAAGTAATTACAGAAGAAGCTTTGTAAAAAATACAAGTTTAATATTATGAGATATTCTGGGCCAACACAGTAGCCAGTAAATTGTTTTATTGCAAAACCAAAATGGGATATCAGTTAAATCACTAGCTGGAAGCTGATATCTGATCCATCGAATTTTCAATATCAGTGCTGATACCAGTATCGTATCGGTGCTTCCCTAGTACCAAAGAGGAAAAGAGAGATAATGAATAATACTCATATTTTATTTCAAAGGTGCAACTAAAAAAACTTGCAATTTTGAATTTCCCAATATTGCTATGTCGCAGGTAAAAGTCCAGAGATCTCATGCACCCTTTTTAGGTCCATAAATCACAATCTAGTTGTAAGACATTTAATAGTGATTTCCTCTACTGTCCTACCCAGATGAACAGTATAGGGAGCACATGTGTAGAAATAAGGCGTATATTGTCTGAAAACTTCAAACTCTAAAACTTTGAGGTCAAAGCAAAGGTTCTTAAGTGCGTGTTATTTTAGGCTAATAATATTATGCATTATTTTCTATATCAATAACATTCAATTTTTCATCAATAAAGTGCATATTTTGCATTTTAAATAGGTATTTTCCATTCAAAAATGCCCAGTCTAAACTTCAATAACTCTGTTTTTCATAATAATTACAGTGGTAAACATGCAATCAACACCAACCATTTCTCTTCAGTGAGCGCTATAGTAAATGTAATTAATCTTTAGACCAAATAAACACCATATTTGTATTTGGAGCTGTGTAACCGTTAGCAACCATTTTTCATTGAATATAACTTCCCCGTCTGAAGCGGCGGGCGCATGTGACTGGGAGAGTGAGAGCGGTCCAGTCTCATCACGTGTTGTGTGTTTTTCTTCCTCTCTTTGCCTGAATAAATGCTCTCCTGAATAATAGATCTCAAGGCTCCATTTACCCAATTATAAATGGTTGTAACCCAATTACAGACAGGGCCATGATTCACAGCCAACAAAGAGGCGCCATTACGCAGGTTACAAATGGCACACACAAAAGAAAATACTCAAACTCAAGCTGAGAGGACCAATTTTCTACCTCCCGTCACCTGTTTGGAGCTGTCGGCCAATCCCAGACTGCGACCTTTACCTCCCGGCCAATCACGTTTCGAGATATTCTTATGTTAAAGGTGCATTGTGTAACTTTTCTGCTTGTCACCGTGGAGATGTTGTTGCTTTGTTTGAAATGTCACAGTGTGGCATTAAAGAATCAATCAATCAGTCTAACATTTACTCAGTAACATGGGGTTTTGTTGACCTAAAAACTTGCTTTGTTACTGTGAGTGGGCTCGCCTCTCCGCAGATCTGACATGTAACTTGGCCCTGTGGTATCATCTGCTGTCTCGTCTTGTTGTAGGGAGTATTATATGTTAAATAAAGGTGAGTTGTTCTACAGTTGTAGGGAGTATTATCTGTTACATAAAGGTGAGTTGTTGTACAGTTGTAGGGAGTATTATCTGTTACATAAGGTGAGTTGTTCTACAGTTGTAGGGAGTATTATCTGTTACATAAGGGTGAGTTGTCGTACAGTTGTAGGGAGTATTATCTGTTTACATAAAAGTGAATTGTACAGTTGTAGGGAGTATTATCTGTTACATAAGGGTGAGTTGTTGTACAGTTGTAGGGAGTATTATCTGTTACATAAGGGTGAGTTGTCGTACAGTTGTAGGGAGTATTATCTGTTACATAAGGGTGAGTTGTTGTACAGTTGTAGGGAGTATTATCTGTTACATAAAGGTGAGTTGTTGTACAGTTGTAGGGAGTATTATCTGTTACATAAGGGTGAGTTGTTGTACAGTTGTAGGGAGTATTATCTGTTACATAAGGGTGAGTTGTTGTACAGTTGTAGGGAGTATTATCTGTTACATAAGGGTGAGTTGTTGTACAGTTGTAGGGAGTATTATCTGTTACATAATGTTGTTGTACAGTTGTAGGGAGTATTATCTGTTACATAAGGGTGAGTTGTTGGTATGAATGTAGTCCTGTATTTCTCACTGTTGTACTTCTACTACTACTGTATGTATCCTGTACTTTTACTGTATTCAAAAGGTACTAGATATGTCTATTTTTTAACAACAATAATTGATTTTCAGTTTATATATTTCAAAATATCCAAACACAATTAGAAAACAATGTTGGTCACAGACTTTGTAAGCTTTGTTTTTAACCACAGCTGCTCTGGGAGTAATTGACAGTAATGGCTGCCAATTAAAGCTCCAACCGCCGTCAATTACCACATTCACACTGAGATGAATATGGTGTTTTGCCAAAGGACACACAGACAGTACACCCACAAATCCAGACTAAAACCAGTGTTGAAACTTGACCATTATTTCAATAAGTAACGATAAATAAATAAAAATAAATAAATTAAAAATGCATAGGGTACAATTCTTTATCAAAATTTTTCTGGTGGAATCTCCGTTAAATGTTATTACTTGGTCTGGAATGTTTCACAGTATGACTTTAAATCCTTTTATCTTCATGGAGACCAAACCAGACCAAGTTACAGGTCAGATCTATGGAGAAATGACCCAGCTCACAATCACAATATCAGTTTTTCTAGGTATTTTTGAGTGTTAAAACCACCTGTAATTGAATAAATGTAAAGCAGAGCTGGTTAATGTCACACTGTGGAACATTTCAGGCAGAGCAATGACGTCTCCGTAGAAACAAACAGGTGATGGACCCAAAACCAAAAAGTTAGACAATGCACCTTTAAGGAAACCAGTATTATTTTGTGTCATCTAAAGAAGAAAAATCACCGTCACCCACTGAGAGCGTATCAAAAGATTTGGAGCATTTTTCTTGGTATGAAAATAGAGTTTGAAATGTGAGTATTGCAACATTATTATAGTTATTAGAGAAGCACTCCAACCTGACTCACTGTGCTCCCGCTCTATTCTATCCATTTCAACTTCTAAAAAACAATATAAGGCACTTTTTTCTGGCATATTTTACAGCGACAAATGTTTGTGTTCTAATCATTATTCTATTATGTATGATTTCTCTTTGTATTTTGTTTTTTTTTTACACACACACTGGTTCCAAGCCAGAACTAAACATGTTCGTCCAGTCAGATTTATTTAACTCTGTGATTTTTGTGAAACCAAGCCACCCAAGCCTGAGAAATGCTTGCTTGGTTGTCCAAAAAGAAGCAAAGGTCAGTGCACTTCAGGATACTTATACACACCTTTTATTGCTGCTTCAATGACTGTTTTTCATTGTTTAAAACTTGAGTAATACTAAGTGTTCAGAGAGACACGATCAGTCAGTCAACAATAAAATATTAGCCAGGCTGGCGCCACCTAGTGCCTCCGCTCAGTTTCATTTCTCTCCAGCGACTAGGTCAGGAATCAGAATACATTAAACGGTTCACAAAAACCCCGAAGTGCAAGTTTGGGCATCAGCCAATCAGTGAAGAGTCAGATATTCTGTGTTGGCAATGATTCCCGAGATCGAGGATTTAAAGCTGGAACAAAGAGAATGTTTGGTGAATTTTATCAAGGAGAAAGACATTACTGTTGTTAGGATAAAAAACTTGGCTTATGTGGTGTATAACTACTGGTATGATGTTATTGATGTACTGCTATAGTTTATTATTGTACTATTAGAATTCACTATACAATGACCTAGAAAACAGGGACCAGATTACAGATAAGGGATGCAGAGATAGGTTCAGTTCATGTACAAGATATTCTATTTCTATCTATATGTCTAATCAATTAAGTAAATAGGGCAAGGACTTATTGATAGGGATATGCTGACTCACGACTCATCACCCTGATCACACCAGCAAGACGCTCCTGTAAGGGGAGTGACATGAATCCTTGTCACAATCGGATAAGATTGTGCAACGTGCCAAGACACCTGGCTGGCCTGTGCACCAACGAAGAGGCACCACGTCTAAACCAAGGTCGCCTCCCACTATAGTTTGCGTATAAAAATCATTGTATAGGTGTAAATATTCTGTCTCTGCATGGGAATGTCAGCACAGACTCCTTGTACAGGTATGACTTTGGAATAAGTAAATTATCTTGACTTTTTCTCTGTTTCAAGTGTAATTTTTTTGTCTAAGCAGAAACTAACGAACACGCAAGGAAAGGGTTATTTTCCTCAACACTGTCCTTCTTCCTACGGGATTTGGGAAAAGCTTAATATACCAGTTAGCGGTGCATTTCATA